TCTTTATTCTCATGTGCTTCCCTCTAAAGAAAAATGACCACCACTCCCTCCGAAACCTATAAAATATTAATTGATCCCCAAACTGATTATCAGAATTACTGGAATCTGATGTCACAACGTAAGTAGTGCATTCTCTTTGACTGTAATGTGACCTTGACTTTTCCATTGACCTTAATCCTAGTTTTTGTTCATGCACACATAACTTCTCACAGAGGTTTCTTACTTTTACATATTTTCTTCTTGCTTACTTAAATTATGATAAGTCTGTTCATTATTATTAATGACTTAATTAGTTCAAACATATTTAGTCAACTTATATCATGGAAAAAGCTTGCAGCTTATATTCGAACCTTTCTACTGTCCGTTTCCTGCAGGTTAGCTGTATATGTGTCATTTGAAGAAATTATTTCTAAAACAGAAAAGAGGCAAATTGGTTTATATATAAACTTTTAATATTAATAATAAATACGTACATTGTATGACACTGTATCAAGACGATAGATGCAAAGAAAGCTAATAAGCTAAATCATACAAAGAAACAAGTGGAAAAGGCAAAACAAGAGCAAATATATCAGCAAACAAAGAACAATAAATACAAGGCGGGAGAGGTGGGATTTTTTTTTAAACGATGTGTCTAGTACCAATGTCATACAAAAACTGTAGTGAAAACCGCGAAATTTTTGTCGAAAAGCGCATAAATTTTATTTTATGTACACTATGAATTCCATTTTTTGTATTCTTTGCATTCTGGTAATTATTACCAGCCTTGTGGTAAATTTTAATAGAACAATTACGCAAAAGAACCAGCCCAGCATCCACTTGAATAGGAACAAGGTAATGTCAACTCATATAATATGTAAATTACAAAGCCTTGGCGTTTATCTATCTGTTAGAACAGCTAACAAACAGTACCATGTCCAATGCAAGTTATCATTTCTATACTTGTTTTGTTTGCTAGCTCATCAGTCCTCAGACATAGAGCTGAACCCTGGACCAGTCAGTAATATACCCCAGTATCCTTGTGGTAAGTGTGATCAGGAAGTAACTTGGAGCCAGAAAGCCATCCTCTGCGACAACTGTGATCGCTGGTTTCATACAGACTGCCATGGGATAGGAAATTCTACATATGAAAAGTTATCGGACTCCCAATTTAGCTGGTACTGCCAGTACTGTGGTAGTTACAACCACTCTCTTTCTCTTAGAGCCTCCCTTGATTCCCTCAGTAATACAAATATATACTGCCACCTTGATTTTTCCAACAAATCCATTGATGATGACGTTTCTCAACAGGTAGGGTCTTTCCTCGGCGCCTCTGGCCCTATCCTAGATAATCATCCAACACCCCAAGCTTCTTCCATCCCAAAATCCAAAGTTACTTCACCCACCACTAAACCTACAGCCAGATCAAAATCCAAAAAGGAGCCAATTAATAAACAACAACGCATTACTGTACTCAACATTAATTGTAAGTCAATAAAAAATAAAGTCCCTGAATTACACCAGATGGTTGACCAGTTAAAACCTGATGTCATCTGTTAATTGTAGTGAAACTTGGCTCAAACCTGATGTCCATACTGCTGAGATATTCCCAGGCAGTCTTGGTTACTCAGTCTATCGGGATGACCGGACTTACAGTCCAGCGGTGGAGTCCTGATAGCTGTTGAGTCAGGAGCAGCCTGATATCAAAACAGACTGTAACATCTGCTGGGCCAAATTAACAATACCCGGATCCCGTAATATCTATGTCGGTTCATACTACAAGCCTCATAAAAACGACCCCGAGTCTCTATCCCAGTTGTGGTTATCTCTGCAGAAAGTCCCCAAAAATAGTATAATATGGCTTGCAGGTGATTTCAATATGCCCGACATAGACTGGCCTTCTGAGTCCATCAAGAGCTCATGTAAATTTAAAGACCAATATGAGAACTTCCTTGAAAATATTGTCAGTCTCAACCTTGAGCAAATGGTCAAAATCCCCACAATAAAATAATAACGTGTTAGACCTTTTCCTCACAAATCTACCATCTCTTGTATTCAATGTTAAATCCCTCCCTAGTCTAGGTAACTCCGATCATGACATCATTTTCCATGAATTAAACATAAACATCCAACCCCAAAGAAAAGTCCACTGTTATAAGAAACCAAACTGGTTAAAAATGAAATCGGAGTTAAACAAATTCCACAAAAAGTTCATGGACTGTAAACATACAGACCCAAACTTGGCCTGGACTGATTTCAAACAGGAACTCCATAGACTAAGTGACTTGCACATTCCTACTAAAATGACAAAACATAAACAACATCGTCCCTGGGTTACTCCTGACATACAAAGACAAGTACGTAAACGGGACAAGTTGTATGCAAAACTTAAAAAAAGAAATGTTGCCCCAAATTCTGATCCCCATTTCAAGACTCTTAAAGCCGTCATCCAAAGAAAAATTCGTAACTCGTATTGGAAGTACTTTGAGTCAGTTATATTCAATGGGGATTCCCAACCAGGTCAAAACAAGAAGTTTTACAGCTTTGTTAAACATAACAAAACAGATAGCTGTGGTGTTGCCCCCTTAAAATCAGAAGGTCAAACTCACACAAATCCTAAGGATAAAGCAAATATTCTAAATAAACAGTTTGAATCTGTTTTCTCACGGCCTCAACCTTTAAGCCTAAAACAAATATGCAAACATGCATTAAACCCCCCTCCCTATTGCATGCCCCCTATCACAATAACGGTTGAAGGCGTTGATAAGTTATTATCAGGTTTAAATCCTAGTAAAGCACAAGGCCCAGATCAAATATCGCCACGGGTCCTTAAAGAACTCCACAGTGAAATAGCACCTATCCTCGCCCACATATTCAGGTTATCTTTAGAAACAGGTATTGTGCCTGATGATTGGAAAAATGCAACAATAGCCCCAGTATACAAAAAGGATCACAAATCAAAAGCCAGCAATTACAGACCAATATCCCTTACTTGTATCTCCTCTTAATTAATGGAACATATTATAGTCTCAAACTTGATGACCTATTTTGACAAGTACAGTATCCTCAGTCCCTATCAACATGGCTTTCGGTCAAAACGTAGCTGCGAAACTCAACTGCTGAGTTTCTCCCAAGAAGTATTTGACAACCTAGACAGTGGACAACAGACGGACGTGATTGTGATGGATTTTTCAAAGGCCTTCGACAAAGTCGACCATCACAAATTAATCCATAAGCTTAACAGAATGGGTGTTAACGAACAGGTATCCACCTGGGTCAGGTCATTTCTTCGCCACCGTAGCCAAAGGGTTGCGGTGGAAGGTCAAATCTCCGACCAGCTACCAGTGTTATCCGGTGTCCCTCAGGGTTCAGTCCTAGGACCCTGTCTGTTCCTGGCATATATCAATGATTTGCCAGAAACTGTCAAAAGCAAAACCAGGTTATTTGCGGATGACACTATAGTCTATTTGACAATTAAAGGACAGACTGACGCTGACAGACTACAGGACGACCTACATAAACTTGAAGTTTGGGAACGGGACTGGGCTATGGAGTTCAACCCAGACAAGTGTGAGGTGCTGAGGATCACCCGTAAAAAGAACCCCACCATCTTCCCATACACCCTTCATAATCAGCAGAATCTACAAAGTGCCTTGGAGTAACTATCTCTAAAGACCTTAACTGGACACAGCATATTAATAACATCACCTCCAAGGCCAAAAATTCTCTAAGATTCATCCAGAGAAACGTCAAAACCCAAAACAGGCAACTCAAAACATCAGCCTATGTTACTTATGTCCGACCATAATAGAATACTGTTCCACCATATGGCACCCCTGGCAGAAACATTTAAGTCATAAGATTGAAAGTGTCCAACGAGCTGCGGCTAGATATGTCTGTAATAATTTCGACAGTAGTGTAACCCAAATGAACTTGAGTGGCCTTCCCTAGAAAGCCACAGACTCCAGTCCTCTCTTGTAGTGTTCTATAAAATCCAATACAAACTTGTATATGTTGACCATAACCATCTGACACCAACTAGAAATCTGAACTTCATGATCCCCCAGTCCCGTACCCAATATCATCTAAATTCCTACTTCCCTAGAACTCTCAGGTATTGGAATAGCCTTCCATATCAGGTCAAATTCAGTTCCAGCCTAGATGCCTTCAAGGATAGGTTGGCGACAGTCACCTTCTAGTCCCCACCCCCAGTATGTTTTTAATCTTGCACTCTTTCTTTCATCCTGCACCTTTTTTTTTTATCTGTGATCTTTATCTTTTAGTATGCACCTAATACTTTTAACACAGATTTCCTGACAAGCGCCACCCAGTCATAGTCAGAATTGATTGTTCGGGAGTAACGTGTAGATGTAGATGAAGATATACTGTATAACTAATTAAAACCGAAATATAAGTCCTACTAGAAAAAGCAAAAAAAAAATAATAATGGAAAAACCAAATCAGAAAAATCAATGAAAATAACTAAATAAAAACTGTCTAAAATTTACCTATCTGAGACAAAAAAGTAATCCTTCCATAAACCGGTAATTATTTTTTAAAAGCTTGTAGTAAACGAAAATACTTTAAACATAGGACTTCGTACGTGGGGCTCGAACCCATGATCCCTGGGTTGAGAAAATTTTATTCCTTTAAAACTCTCTTTAAATTTTTTAACTTGGGTCAATTCTAGATATTTACAGAAATGTAGATAAATGTTTTCTATGTCTGTGATATTAAGTACATGTACAACTTGATCTAAGGGCTGTGAAATATCAAAAATGTAGCATAGATAATTGACATGTTTTTTGTTGTTGTTTTTTTTTTGTGGGGGGGGGGTTCTAGTTAATTCAACAAACAAGGTCCAAAATAAAAAAAAAATCGAACGTTTCACTTTTGTATAGTATAAGTAACAGTAGTGTATTCATTAAACTGCCATAAATTTATACTGTACTGTATAGGCCCTTTTCATTTTGACAGACTATTTTCAGCATGTACATTTGCCTTTTCCGCAGAAAGGACATTTTCGGTTATTGAGTGCTAGTTTATTAAGAAAGCGTTTGTCAACACTGATAAAACGTTAATATTTTTCTCAATTTTATGAAAACGTAAACGTAAGACAACAAACAAAATGTCACACATAAGTCAGCAACGATTGATAGAAATGGAGGCGGAGATGGACAGGTATAGATATTTGTTATAACTTGAAACTTGATGTCAGGTCAGCTCGTCCCATGGTCATCTCGTCCTCAAGCTCACCACTATTTAATCGCCCCTTTTAAACTGGTTCTATGTAAGCCTACTGGACCCAGATTCGTTCTTGAACAAGACTATTAAATTGTAAAAATGGTTATAACTACAGGTGAAAACAACATCTTGTGGAGGTACATGTATGGATGTAACATAACCATACACATCTTTATATAAAAGTTCGCGTAACCCAGTTTTTTCTCTCCCTATATTATTTTGCAACTTTAACCCGTTAATCAATGAGCATTTTGTGAAAAATGGCTGTTTTCATTGAAAACCTCCTGTTACAAGTTCAAATTGCTATGAAACTATAAAAAAAAATATTTTAATACTGATCAAATGCAAACAGGACGTTTCGGCCCCAAACCAAATCGGCCCCTGTGCAAAAATCTGCCCCTAGACGTTTCGGCCCTTTTCGGCGAGACGTTTCGGCCTTTTTTTATTTTATAACAGTTTTATTTAAGTATAAAAGGAATTTTTTTACTTAAAATCGTTAAAAATTGTAGTATATTGATTGATGGCACACAAACAATAATGACATTTTAATCCTTAATTGATAATCCATTATAGATCTATCAATCGCTATTTAAATAAATGCTTTTTTCAAAGGTGTACCAATAAATACACCTAAATAAAGACACTTATTCTTTAATTTATAAGACAGTTGACAAATGCAAAAACTTTTTGATTAACAAAATTAATTACAAATATACTTAAAAAATCATTTTCTTTTGATCCCTATTAATCATTTACCCAACACTTTAGATATATGTTGTTTGTTGTTTTTTTTGTTTTGTTTTTTTCAAGGTTTAACAAATTAATTATTTATAGTGTATTGCTAATTTAAGCCGTTCGTAATATCAAAGATTTTTTTAACTTATGATTTGATATAATTTCTTGATAATATATGCTTTGATTGAAAATCTATCACTTTTATTGTACAAAATGTTTGTTTTTTATATAAAAAATGTCTGTTTACAAAGTATTGTTTGTTTTATCTTATAATTTTTTAACTGTTATGTTATTGCTTTTTAATCGTTCAAATTTGAAAAAAAAAACTTCTTGATAATAAGCAGATAAAATATGTTTCAGTGTTCGTGTACTAAAATTGTTTTGTTTAATAAAGATTATGTTCTGTTTGTTTTGATTACTACTATTTTAGCCTCATCATAATTTAATTATTCAATTAATTCTCTCATTCCTTTTTTTTCTTTCATTTATTTATATGCTATTAAAATTCTGGTATAAAACACGTTGAGGTAAGACTTATTCTTAAATAAATATGAGGCCAATTTGGTAAAGGGCCGAAACGTCTTGGGTAATTTGTGGCCGATACGTCTTGGGGCCGAAATGACTCGAAATCGATCAAACTTGGCACAAATATAATAAACAACAAACCTCTATCAGATACTCAAGAGGAATGTGATCAAGGAGTTATTTTTGAAAAAAAATCTCGAATTTAGCAAGCATATTTCTACAACAAGTCAAACAGTATCCTATACATATCTTTTGACATTAAAGTATTTAAATTAACTGTTAAACCTACCATATGTCAGCCCATTTTACATACGATTTATACAGTGAGATACGCAACCGATTATTTTTACTTGAAAACCTACTGATAAGAATAGCCTATCATCTGCTAGTTGGGGAAAGTGTTTATCGGTGAATTTAGCAAGCATATTTCTACAAAGATTAACAAGTCAAACAGTATCCTAGTTCTCATTATCAGGTCATTGGAGTTTTTAGATGAGTATAGCTTTGTTAAATTGTATACAGCGTTGATTTGTCTGCATGTTGAATTTTCAAATGTTGTGTGGAATCCATACTTAATCAAAGATATATCAAGTCTAGAAAAACTTCAACAAAGAGCAACAAAACTAGTTCCATCATTGAAATATGTAGATCATACATTGACTGTTTAAACTGCCAAGTCTAACTCATGGTATATTAAGAGGGGATATGATTCAGACATTCAAAATTGTTACAGGCTTAGATGACTGTACTTTTGAAAAATATTTAGTTATTCGGCATCATCAAGAGGTGATTTAGACTAAAAAGCTGTCATGTTTTGTATCATAATTATATCAATTTTATGATTTTTTTTATACTTCTTTCAGATTTGAGCAAGAGATATTGTCTGAACCATCTGCGAGTGACCTCCCACGTGTTGTAATTGGCTCTAATACATACCACCAGGTGTCGGCACAGTTGAAAATGCTTCGAGCTCAATCTGGAATGTCAATAGAAGAGAGGCAGAGAAAACAACAAGAAGTAAGAAATTAATTTGACTTACAACTCAACTATTTCTTCCTGAATTTTTGTATTAATCATCAGAATTCATTCTATCATAAATAATGAATGGAAGAACTTTTATCTTTTACACAAAGCTTAAATGTAAATTCTCTCAGCTACTGGTAATACTCATTTGATTCAAGTTTGTTCAAGTTGTCATGGTGAAAAGTTTGACCCACAGTGTTACCATTTATCCACATATGTGCTTGTTTTGTGCATAAATTCCACCATTTACATATAGATATTTAAGGGTTTAAACTTTAGTAAATCAGGATAGATATTCTCTATAATCTGAAATCTTCAGTAGGTTTATCGCACACATACATGTTAACATATTTGACAATATTTCTGACCAGGTAGCCGAGCAACTGAGGGCTCTAAGAGCAAGTACAGAAGAAGCTATGAACATAAGAACACAACATCATGATGATGATGACGACGATGATGATGATGACGAGGATTATGCTGATGAGGGGGACAAATACAGTATAGGTAGGTTAAAAATAAGTATATAGAATAAATACTGTCAATAATAGCTATGACATTTGCACTGTTTATCAGCTGAAACAGAAAGTTTTATTTTGTTGGGAAATAGAAATATTATCATTATCATTATGTTAAGTATCTACAGGTTATTAAGTTTCAGTTTTATATGTAGCTTTGAAAAGTGTCTAAATTCTAATAATAGACAAAATTTTCATTTGGGAATAATCTATTATGGTGGCAAAGATATTACTTAAATGAAACAAAATTCCTCTTTTTTTTTTCTTTTTTTTCTCTTAACAAATTTCTGTAATATAACTATTCATGTACTAATCATCTATTTACAGTTGGCCGTCATGAACCACCAGCAAAGAAGCCAGCTTTAGATTCTAATTTCCCGATCTTACAGCCCCCACCACCACCTCCACCTGCAATGACTTCCACACCATCCTTCATGCCGCCACAGTTACGGCACAGAGCCCCTCCTCCCCCACCCAACAGACCTCCTATGGCAGGACCACCAAGAATGAGACCCCCACCACCACATGCACGACCTCCATTTGGAGGCCCTATGGGACCGGGTCCAATGGGACCTGGTCCCGGATATCATCACGGGCCGCCAATGGGTCCAGGACATATGGGCGGACCTGGGCCAGGACCTATGAGAGGTCCGCCTCCTATGGGAATGAGACCAGGATTTGGTATGCCAGGACCTCGCCCAATGCTTGGTCACCCTGGTCCTGGAATGTACGGAGTCAGTTCTGGTGAATCTCACATGGATGGAGAACATAAGAATGAAACAGAAGACAAGGATGATGATAAACCTAAAGTTATATATTCTTCTGCCCCTGTTATAAATGTACAGAAAAAGGAAAAGAAGAAAAAGAAGAAGAAGAAAACAGAAGTGGATGAAGAGAAGGTTACTACAGCTGGTTCATCAAGTGGTTTGTAAATTTGTACATTTTGTAAATACATGTATTGATAGTTTGTTAAACAAGAGTTAATATCAATTTCAAATTCATTAAAATTCAATTACTGCACGATACACATGTAAAAATTTATACTTTAATTACTGCATGTTTATAACATAAAATACACCACTGACAAAGGTATATACACATTTAATTTAGTTTGATTGTGTTGGAAGCCATAAGCTTATTGAAGCACTCAAATCTGTTCCTGGAACCAACCAGTACTAAGCCACGAGTGTAAAGTTTCTTGCTCATGGAAACAATGGCTTGCTCCTGATGGGGTTTGAACCCATGCGGGCAGCAATCTTAGATTACTAATCTGATGTGTTAACCACTTGGTGATGCTGCCACTCATTTATTAATAAGTTAAACAAAGTTAACCTTGTATAAACGTTGTATAGGTACATCAGAGAAGTCAGCATCTGAGGAAAGTAAATCTGTATACACAGTGACGATGCCACCACCTATAAAACCTCAACCTGAACCAGACGATGATCTACATGTAGCAGATATGGATATTGATAGTCAAAATATGTCAAATAAAAAGGAGAAGAAAGAAAAAAAGAAGAAATTTATACGTATGGCTGCAGGCACAACATGGGAAGATCCATCTCTTGGTGAATGGGACCCAGGTTTATTGTTATACATTTGCTTATATTATTGTCAGAGCTTTCCTCTCTTGTATGCCAGTTTATTATACCAACTGTATTACTATAGGCGAGTTTGCATGTTCAGGCAATTTCTCACCCAGGGGCCCTCCTATTGCAGGGGGACTTGGAGTGGGACCTCTTTTATCACCTCAAAATGATAAATGCTCTAGAGAATGGAATCAATCTATACTTATTTAGAAATTGATAATGCACCAAATATTTTTCCCAATTAGGCCCCAAAAAATTGTGACATGTTTACCTGACCCTAACTCTGACCTGATAAGTACATCCAATCCATTTGTTTTTTTATTCAAACAAAATTTACAACCATTTAGTATGGTAACGCCCGAATCAGAATGTGTATGATACATACTTGTTTTATCATAACCCAGTGTAACAGAATTGACAGCTTAAACTGTTTTCTGTGTTTAAACAGTTAGAGATCACCATACTTTCAAGCATTTGGAAATTTACAATAATTATGCCATTTAGAGGGAGAATTATGTTACCCTGTCATCTTGCTGTCACACTGTCCATATGAAGACTGACTGACAAATCGCCATCCATGTCTAGTTATAAGAACTAAATCTACTTAGAAATATCAAATGAATTGTCATTTTACAATTAAAAACTTCAGAAAAGAATGAATCAGACCAAACCACAACAAAATCGGTAACCAAAAAAAAAAAAAAAACATCATACCCTTCCTTCTTTGGAGAGCAGTACAATTTATATTTTTAATGACGTAAAATTGACCAAAGTAGTGTCAGGTTGCAGTCTAACTAGACATTATGCTGAATTCTATGAAATCTTCTAGCATCTTAGCTTATATTTAGGGTATTTCATATTCAAAGCAGGGCCAGGTTTTCTTTTCTGACGTCACCCACTACTGTTGAATAAATTCAGAACTTATATATTTTCACGAGATAAATAGTTGTTCTATTAATGAACTTTATAAGGAAAATGTTTCTGTGTTTACACTGTACGAAATTATATTTAGACTTTGATATAATTTACTGTTTAAAAATTAATCATCTATTAAATACATGTACTTAAATACATGTATATTAAACTATGTTAGCTCTATCATTTATCTGTCAAGTTGTTGTCTAATATTTTATTACTATTCATTATTCTATGTAATGTGTTGGTAGCATTAAAAGTATCATATAGTCTACATCACAGAAAAGTTTAGAGAAAAAATAATGTTTCATAGAAAAAAAAGTTGTGCTATATTATACTCTTTAATTTTCATTTACAGATGATTTTCGATTATTCTGTGGTGATCTTGGTAATGAGGTAACAGACGAAGTTCTAGCCAGGGCTTTCAGTAAATTTACCTCATTTGTAAAGGCAAAGGTAGTTCGAGATAAAAGGTCTAATAAAACTAAAGGATATGGTTTTGTGAGCTTTAAAGATCCAACAGATTATGTTCGTGCAATGAGAGAAATGAATGGTAAGATATGATAAATGATATTAAGGGAAGGATAAACATTAGTCACATACACTGACCTTTATGATATTTAAAAACAAATTTTGGTAACAGAAAATCAGAATTTGAGTTATAACTGAAAGTTGTTATAGAATTCAAGCTAGATATATAAAGTTGTATATACATGCAAATAATACGCGACAATATTTTGAATGCATGTCATTATATACCGTATAAGTGGTTTTTTCTGCGGGCTCCAAATTCTGCGGTTTTTCCAAATTTTGGCATGTTTTTATTTCTGCGGACTTTATTTCTGCGGCACATTCTTTGGACAAAACGTGATTTAAATTCTGCGACTCGTCTTATCAAAGTCTAAGTCACATTTCTCAACCTATTTTTTCGCACGTACACATTTGTTTAGCTTCGTCACCGCAAAACAATAAAGTAATTACAAACAAATGTACTGTTTGCTTGCAAACAAATATAATGCGCAACAATAGAAAGGTATGCAGCTTTTGATCATCGTGAAATGACGTGTGAAAAATATAACCCTGTAGTATCTTTAATTCTATAATCAAAAAGTTGATAGCAGTTGACAGTAAATCAGATGACAATTATAGTAGACGACGATTATTTAGCAGTATAAGGGTTGAAATGGTTTGAAATAACTGTATTCTTAAATTAGTATCATTAACAATTAGTACGTCCTTAAAACACAGATTACATACTAAGCCTACAGCAATTTAATACAATTTGAAAACCCCCTTACTGTTATAATACGTTAGTCGTTATTACTGTAGACGAAACAGGTCATAATGCAGGACACATATAGTAGCAGGTGAGTGAAATATTCTGTGGTTTTTATTTCTGCGGTCATGAAACTGACCGCAGAAAACGCAGAAATAAAGTCACCGCAGAAAAAACCACTTATACGGTACCTCATGATGCAGTGGTGATTTTAAAATAAACCCCAAGAAATAAGAAATTTTACTGTCATATTGGGGTACCATTTTGCATCTCATTTAAAAATGTGTTAGAATCCTTATCAGTATGATTATAGAAGAATTATGAGTGCCAATAATATTATAGTATAATATATATTATAGTAGATCTTTTTCTAATTACTTTTACATTTTACTTTTTACAAATACATGTACTTATTATATACTTATAAATGAAATATTGGGAAATATTAATGAAATAAAATGCATATTTGTATTTTATGTATTTTCACTGTAAAAATTTATTTTTCACTGCAGTGAAACATATTTACCATATTTTCATTGGTGTCTTGCCAGATTTCTTTCTTCTTAATTCAGCCAGTACACAAAATTAAAGGGAATTCTTCCTATTCATAAGGTTAAAATAGAGAACAAGTATATAATAAAACAGTAAATTCAAATTTTCTATTAATATGGGATTTAATTTCATCTTGTGGTATAAAAATGATCATATTTCACTTGTGGCTACCACTCGATGAAAATAAATCCTGTATTTATAGAAGAAACTTGAATATCCTTTATTTATTTAGGAAACCAGCTGAGGATTCAAATGTTATCTTTCCTTTAATAAATATTTTTTATCTTCAGGTAAATATGTTGGGAACAGACCAATAAAACTGAGAAAAAGTAATTGGAAGGAGAGAAATATTGATATAGTGAAGAGGAAAGACAAGGAGAAAAAGAGACTAGGATTAAAATGATGAGACTTGTGAGAGGGATGTACATGTCAATAGTTTTATATACCACAACACTGCTCGACGACGAAACATTTGAAATGAATTGTCCAGTCAGATATTGTCTTTCAGAAAAGAGTTATCCTGACATATAGTGCTTTAGTACTGGTGTTGATTAACTTTTGCAATACATCTGTTTCCACTCTTAAATAATTTGAAGCAATCATGGAAAACAAAAAATCTCTTTCTATTCTTTTGCAGCTTACATTATTAATGTGCAGTTTTGTTTTACAACAATAGACTTGTTAACTATGATCATACTAAGAAGGTAGTATACAATAAGTTGAACTGGATAGTTAGAATATGGCATAAACTGTGTTTGTGTGACTAGCTAGCCAACAACAACACATTTCTCCTATACAGTCAGTCTACTTCTGAAATAACTTGTATATGTCTCATACTTTAGGACAATTTTAATTGTGAAGCCCGAGAAAATAAACAGACGCACATACCTACACACCTGGGTAAATAAAGGCTTGGTTAAAATTGATTCTGTTTTGAATTATGAATTGAAATGTTAGTATGAATATCAGACATTTTGCTACACATGATAAATTTTGACTCATGAAGACATTGGGACAGTCGTGGAAATATAAGTGGTAGTATTCTTGTAAAAAGAATGCCGTGATTGAAGTAGAAGAAAGTAAAACAAGAGTTTTGTCTAATTTTTTTTAGGATTTACAGACTCAATTGAGCATGTATGTTATTTCTAGAGTAATTATGTCAGTGGATTATTTCAATAACATGACATATGTACTAAACATAGAAAATAACAGAAATAAAACTCTCATTATGAATTGCTGTACGTGCGTATGTAAATGTAGGTGATACATTAAATATATTTGTTAATGAATTGTTCTTCCGTCGTTTTGTTTTACCGTCTTAAATCTCTGAGTTAGTACATGTATATGCTATTGTACTTGGCAGTAACATGTGAATATTGGGGACAAAGCTCTATGTCACCAGTATACAACCAGACCAGCATTTTCATATTTTGATATTAATTAATGCAAGATACATTGGCTGCCATTTTCAACAAACATCTTTAAAGTTCTATATCTTATAAGCCAGAGGAAAATTGCAGAGCCCTATCTGCTTAGCATAAATATCTGGCAGTGCTGAGTGGTCAAGGTTTCCATCTCTCAACCTATGAATTGTTGGTTCGAGTCTTGCTTGGGTTCTGACCACATTTCATCATATGACATTAGTAATTCCAGGAAGTAGATACTACAAACGTTCAAGTGCCCTTCATGCTTCCTTTATATACTGATGTTGAATAATCATCTGGGACTCTTCCTATCTTTATTCATTTTTGTAAAAGAAATTGCAGTGGTTACAAGTGACACACCTAGAAAAGTTGTCAATTCTACAAATTTTGTGTGCTTGTATAGGTACCTAGTTAAACTGGCCAATTATAATCACTTTTAATTACACCTAAGTTTTTTAAGCCCCCGCTATGGCTTATAAATATCAACAGACATGAAATTTTTTCGAACATTCTGGTCTTTTATATATCTTTTTCCAGTTATCTTTATGATTTAATGAACAGAATTGTTCAGCCACCGCATTATCGTTCCTGGGCATGCTGTCAAACAGTTTACCACTTACCATCACTTTTCATGATAAATATCTTAAGCTCTAGCTCTAAGATTTTTAAAGTTTTTACTATACACATATAGGGAAAAAAATGACCCCCCTCTGGGTGGGCCAATTTTGTCCTAAGGGCTTTTATTTGAACAAACTTAGAAGAAACTCTCTAGAAGATAATTCATGCTTAATATCTAAACTCTAGCTCTTTGGGTTTTTAACAGAAGATTTTTTAAGTTTTTACTATATACATACATTTTGTATAAGGAAAATCAATGACCCCCTGGGGTGGGACCAATTTTAACCCCAGGGTCCTTATTTGAACAAAAATGGATGACACCCATTAGAAGATATTTCATGCTAAGTATCTTAGCTCTAGCTTTAAAGATTTCTTAAAAGATGATTTTTAAACTTTTTACTATATACATGTACATAAAGGGAAAAACAATGACCCCCTGGGGCGGGGCCAATTTTGACCCCAGGGCTTTTATTTGAACAAACTTGGTAGACACCCACTAGAAGATGTTTCAAGCCTTATAGCTAAGCTCTAGCTATTTGGGTTATTTAAAAGAAGATTTTTTAAGTTTTTACTATATACAAATAAGGAAAATCAATGACCCACCCGAGACGGGGCCAATTTTGACCCCAGGGCATTTATTTGAACAAACTTGGTAGACACTGACTAGTTGATGTTTCATGCCAAATATTTAAGCTCTAGTTCTTACGGTTTTCTAAAAGATGATAATTACTTTTTTCTTTCGGTTGCCATGGTAACCAGAGTTCTGCTTGGAATTAAATTCTTTGAACAATTTTTAAAGTTGACTACCAAAGGAACATTCCTGTGAAGTATGGATGAAATTGGCTTAGCGGTTTATGAGGAGATGTCATTTAAGGTAAAAGTTTACGGATGGACGCCAGACGAAAAGCGATCACAAAAGTTCACCATGTCACTGTGACAGGTGAGCTAAAAATTCATATTTAATTTATTTCCAAAGTGAAAAGCGCATTACTCTGCAAAAAATCATTGAACCATGACCAAATTCGAACTTGGCCTGCGCATTTTTTTACGTATCCATATGTGAAATTGGAGTTGAATGTGTAGTACTGTTGGGGAGATAATGAACGGAAACTGAAAATTTCATATTAACTCTCTCAAAAATCATTGAACCATGACCAAAATTCAAACTTGACCTGTGCATTCCTTTGACTATCCATATGTCAAATTTGAGTTGAATGTGTAATACCCTTGGGGAGATAATGAACGGAAACTGAAAATTTCATATTATTTTCAAAGGAAAAAGGGCAGAACTCTGCCAAAAATCATCGAATCAAGACCAAATTCGAATTTGACCTGTATTTTCTCATGACATATCCATATGTCAAGTTTGAGTTGAATGTGTAATACCCTTGGGGAGATATTGAACGGAAACTGAAAATTTCATACTATTTTCAAAGAAAAGGGGCATAACTCTGCCAAAACTCATCGAACCATGACCAAATTCGAACTTGACCTGTATTTTCTCATGACATATCCATATGCCAAATTTGAGTTAATGTGTGCAACCGTTACAAAGATAACGAACGAAAACTGATGATGACAGAATGACGAAACAGGGTAACACTGTATGCCCCAGCCATTATATGGCGGGGGCATAAAAATATATCAAACACATAATACTAGTTGTTTTTAAATTTATTTACTTACACAAAAGAATTCAAATCATCACTAAATTTGTCTGTGAAACAAGCATGTCAATAAATTTCAACATCAGAATTCTTTTTTAAGATAAAAAACAATACTAATCAAATTTTCACTGTTCCCTTTTTATCTTTTAAAAGTATTTCTTGCTGTCAAAATTCCTGAAATGTTTAGTTTAAATAATGATCACTGGAACTATATATAATGTTATGTGTAAGAGATTTCTTTATGTACTGCATTAGGAACCTTCACTGGGTAACCAACATATGATCTCTTGCCTATACACTCTCCAACGAAAAACCATAATATCACCTCAAACATTACAACTGTGTTTAGTGTTGCTTGCTGAAAAAAACAAAAACATATATACATGTTTGTTTGTTTTGGGTTTTTACGTCACATCAACACAGTATAAGTCATATCGCGACGTTCCAGCTTTACTGGTGGAGGAAGACCTCAGGTGCCCTTCCGTGCATTATTTCAGACACGAACGGGCACCTGAGTAGAACCACCGACGTTCCGTATGCTAGCTGGATAGCTTCCTCACATGATAGAATCCAAAGTCCCTGTCGGGATTTGAACCCACAGCGGTGAGGGGCAAGTGGTTTGAAGTCAACGACCTTAACCGCTCGGCCACGGACTCCCCTCTAAGTACATGTATAACAGTATTTAAACTACTTTAAATATAGTAATTTAACAAGCATGAACTCTTTAAAAGTCACCGTAGAACAATTTAAGTATATATCATAATCTCATCTGGATATGAATTATTCTAGATGTGTCCCATTTTGTAGTCTGAGCAACTAAATTTCACCTTAAATTAAAATGATAATAAGATAAATATTTATGCAATGATAAATCAACATACAAATACTGTGAGGTCTTTCCACCCTCCTTTTTTTGCCTTTCCAATCAAACTTGCAAACTCCCCAAATGCCTTTCCAACTTCAGCAGGTGTTGGGGGTGCCAGTTCTACAACAGCATATTTCTTTACAATTGGCCACTTCTTTCCCATATAGTTTGAAGTCCCTGTTAAAAAAATTATAGGTTTTTTATTTGCAAATATAATGTACATTTGTGTAATATTCAGAGTAATAACAGGTTTAGAGTTTTTCTATTAAGGGTAACATATGGAGTTTAGATAAAAACAATATTATTCAATTGAAATATTTTCTCTAAAACTCTTAACACGCTGTAAGTATTTTTTTGTATGTGTGAATCTGCATGCAAGAAATAACTTAAGTACATCTGATTCTGAACTTCAATCAGACTGTCAGATTGTAAATTAATCCTTTCTCTACAAATTCACATACTTTCATTGATCAATAAAACTTTAAAATATCCATATAAGCATGGAGCTAAATATATTTTTAAATGTCTGAAAATATTTGTGACTTAACTTTTTACAGGCTGGTAAAAATGCCCGATCGGGCATATGTCAATCATAAAATATCATATTTATAGAAAATAAATTAAGATATTTCTTTTAATCTTTGTTTGTTTATTGAGAATAATATGTGACATAAACAGAAAGAAAAATATTTGGCTACTGTCACTTTTGTAAAAATTATTTCCTCTTTATCATGTTTTTATAACACATAATTTTTGAAGTCCTTAAAAAGTATGTTACACATGCAAAGTGTTAAACAAAATAGGTTAAATAACTTTTTCTTGATCTAATTCATTGCGCCAACACCTGTCAGCATACATTTCATTCAGTTTTCAGAGAAAACTAAAAAGTATAATGTTCAGTGTCAAAGAAATGTCAAAATATAAAAGCTACAAACTGAATATTTAATCTAAAAATATAGAATAAAGGTACTGGCGCAATTATCTAGAGCATAATGAAGTTGTTGGAAACATTTGTATTTAGAATTTTACATAACACTATAATTTTTATGAACTTCAAATATTTTGTTTCTAGAAAATGGGGAAACGGAAAATAATTCTTAGAAAGTGTTTTGGACACTGAACCTTGCATGCCTACTCATATTACAAATGTCCCTGTCTGAGTTTGGTGATAAGATGAATTGGACATAGAACTTTCTAATACTGAAAGTAAAGTTTCTATCAATTTAGACATATAACTTGTTTTAACAATGACAGGCACAAAGTTTTAGAATTAAAGATAACCAATTTTTTTTTTTTTTTTGATTAATATCATATATCAGTGCTTAATAAACAAAACAAGTTAGAAAGAAACATATTAATTATTTTTCTATAAATATGATATTCTATGCACAGATGCTTGGGGATCAGATCCTGCCCCCCCCCCCATGTGATACACCCCTGTAAACACTATCAAAAATATTTTTATATTTAAACACGAATGGGACGATAAAACTGGTTTTCAAACAATTTTTACATATATGAAAAAATACAGGTTAACCTCAAGTCTCAATAAAGTAAAGATTGCAGACTCCAAAATGTAAACACGAGTACCCTAGATTAATAAAACCTTATCAATCATTATTAAATGAACCTTACTGTGACTTTTCCGGTGTTAATCAATAGAATATAGAATTATCTCCTAAATGCAATCAGAATAAACATTTATACATCTCTTTTTAATATGAAAATCAACATTTAATTAAAACTGAAAGTAAATTTTGCGTTCTGTCCAAGCAATACGAGAAGAGTTCCCAGCTCTGCGTGGAGCGCTTGTCAATCCAGTACCCAAACGGTGTACATGCTTTCAACTACTCGAGCATTATACCGTCATGTCTTAGCTGTCTGCAAGCGCTCGTTTGAAAGACATTTATTGGTAATAAAACTATTACCAAGATGCACAGTGTGTTGTTTCCCAAGTTTTTTTATTGTATATAATGCACAATATAAAAATTTGAATTTGACAGTCATATCGGGTCTCCCAAAAGAGACAATTTTGATAAAAGTTTAGTTGTGAAAGAATTATAGTGTTTGGTCCCGACTCAAAAAGCGAAACAAGAGCGCAAACATATGCTAGGCTCAGGTCGTGTATTGGTTGGATTGTTAACATATTGGAGTCTGCAATCTTTACTTTATTGAGACTTGATGGTTTGAAAACCAGTTTTAACGTTGTAGTAGATGTCCCATTCATGTTTAAATAATCAGTGTTTCTGCCAGCTCTGATTTTCTGAGGGTCTTTTATGACCCCCTGTATGATATTTTAGGGGTCATTTCAAATTCATAAGGGCCATGCCAATAAATTTAACAAAAATGTAAAAAAAAAAACAGGTAACACTTTATAAGTTTTATTTACAATATTTTGTATATTTTTCGTGAAGAAATTGGTCAATCTCTGCTATTTTGGATTATTTGTCATCCAATAATAACGCTGTATTTCTTAAAAATTATGTGTGTTAATTTTCATAGAAGAAAGAAAGTCGATACTATATTGAAATTCGTTCATAGTCGCCTTCTATTTTTCATAGTGCTTCATAGTACCGCCTAGTGACGTAATCAAGGGCCAAATAAAGCTTGACACTAAATATGTTAGTGTTCATCCTTAGCTGTTTTACAGAAATTAGAAACATTCTCCTGTCGCTATCGCTCCCTTCGAAGTTTCTTATTTCTGTAGAACAGCACAGATGAACACTAACATATACGCAGACTGAATTTTCCAGCAGACAGTTATTCGTTCGCAGAATATGACGACAACAAAATAAATAACTTTGTCTGGGCGCTTTCAATATATGCAGTAACGTATAAATGCAAGCGTTTATTAACCAGTTGAAATTGGCTAAATGCCGGACCACGGACCCGGTAAATTTCATTTCTCATTAAAATTATAGTGGAGCCCACGGTAAACATTCCGTACATTTTTATACTGAATTGACGGTTTATAGCCTGTATATCTGACTTGTGTTGAAATCAGCGACTGTGAAATTCTTGCGTCACAAAATACGCACTAACTAAATTTCATTGCGTCATGGCTGAAAATAGTGCGCCAAAAACGCGCTCTGGCAGAAACACTGAATAATAAAATATTTTGATAGTGTTTACAGGGGTGTATCACATTGGGGGGCAGGATCTGACCCCAAGTGTTTGTGATTCTATGTCATAAACCTGATTGAGCATTTTCACCAGGTAGTCCAACTAATTGTACTGCGCGACGAGATATTGTACTATTTTCGTGTCTGGGCAATATCTCGCCTCTAAAGCGAGATTCTGCCCCAGAACGAAAATATCTCAGAATCAAGCTTTGGCACGTCAATATATTTTGACTATTTCACCAGGCAGTTCAAGCTGGCACAAATGTCCCAGATATAAGCAGGTCTAGGATTTCATGATATTTATGGACTGTCCGTAAATTTATAGACAGTCTAGAAATTTAAAGATTTTTCAATCCATAAATTTACAGATATTCAATGTGAAATTTGCTGTTTTTAGTTTTACAATAAAATCCGCAGCTTTAGACAAGTTGTTTTATTGATTGTTTATATTTACAAAGGTAATGGGGTGAGTTTCATCTTTGTATGATGATTTTGAAATTTTTGTAAAAAATGAAAATTGAAAGTCATCAAACTGTTCTGATTCTTAACATACTGTTACATTTAATCGTAAAATACCTAACCTTATTCATTTTAACCTGCGGTTTTAAATTTTAACGCAACTTCTATTATTTTCTTACTTAATGTCTGTAAATTTACAGATAAGAAAATCTGTAAAATTATGGATCGTCCAAAAATTTACAGACTGTCCGTATATCCTGGTTGTACTATCTACCGGGAGTGTAAGCCTTATTAGGCCCACCATCATGTAATACAAAAAAAATCTAATATAAAATAGTTATTTTCTGTAGGAGGTACCATTTTTTGATGAAAATAACAATCATCCAAAAGAAATTTTAACTATACATCAAAAAGATAGTTCTGTTAATAACATCATATGAGTGGCAGCCATTTTTGTTTTTAAGTACTTAATACCAGGAATGACTTTTAAGCAATCAATAAAAAGTAAAAAACATATGTAAATGGTCCATTACTGTTAATGATACTAAAGTTCTATTCAATATTTATCAGTTATCACACAGTAAAAGGGTAATAATTTGATAAGCATTTGCACACACATTCAAAATATCATGATGGGTCCAAATTGTTAGCAATATTACTGGTTTCTATACGTAAAACACATTTATGTGAATAGGGTTATTTAAACTTTGAATTTTCTTCAAAAAAAGCTATATTTTGTATGAAATTAATGTGAAAAACACTTGCATACAAAATATTTTTTTTATGTAAGTATTGTTTGTAATATCTGGACACTCCCGGTACAAAGTACCTCCCGGTATAAAGTACCTTGAGGATATATCATGAAATCCTAGACCTGATAAGACAAAAGTATAAACATGAAAATGTGAAACAATGAATGTAAAGATCAAAATACAATACATTCATATACGTAATCATTACCTGTAAAAATATAATTATGGGCCGAGTACGTACCGGGCCGAGATGACTCAGGGCCGAGTTAACCCGGAGTCCTAAAAACGACTTGGCCAGAAAATACAAGCAAAAGACACACTTTAACTTGTAGAAAGCTCTTTTCAATGGGAAGTCCCTAAAACTCCCTTACTAAAGTGGTTCACATTAGGTCAAGGCGAGAAATTGGTCTCCTAATAAAACTTTATCGGAATTCTTACCCCACCCACTTGTAGTACATTGACCTTGGTTGCCAATACCGCACGAGAATGCGACATTCATAAATAATATATTGTTTTATTGTACAAATCATTTAGTAACACATACTTGACACGCCATTTGACATTCGCACAGCCATACGCCCCACAAAGGCCATGTTTTAGCTATTATGTTGTTGTGCTTAAACCACAAATTTGTTCGGCAGCACCTTTCCGGCCTTCTACGTTATCGGCGAGGTGTTCCGAATGAAATTTATAACGATTCGTCCCACCGACACTTCGCATTGTAACGACTCGGCCTCTGTTCTGTTTATGCATACTTAAAGAAGTTCGTATATTAAATTGGTTTAATTTTGGAACATGATATCGAATTAAATAGGAAAACAAATCGGATTAGACAAGTAATATCATCGGGAACAAGACACTTCACTCATCCCTGAAGGCACTTAATTGAGTCAGCAATTTTGACAAGTCATGTTATCAAGAAAGGTGTAAATGTAAAGCACAGAGCTGAAAAAAGCAGATCAGATATTGTTGATAAGATTTGGTTTTGTAGTCAGTACCAAAGAAATAAATGTAATCATAAATCTCCTCATATGACTGTTATAAAAGGTGTTGCTAGATTGTCTCAGCATGTTTGCGCTTCATGCTGGCTGAAAGACAAAGTTAAATTAGAGCATCCTGAGTGTTCAAGCTCATGTCCTTATTCGTCTAATTGACTGAAAGATAAGTATGATGATTTAAAGAAAAAAGTAAAGTGTCATGAAAAAACTGTTGATTTATTTCTTCCGAAATATATATTCATATGACTAAAATTTTCTTTTGTTATTTTTTCTGATTGAAAACTGATAATTATTTGAACTCGCGCCCAGGCACTCCATCCCTCAATTTTGAGGACAATTCATCCCACAAGAAACTTCACGACCTAAAATCAGTAAAACGCTTCATCCATCCATCACTAATTTAAGGGGAGGACCCTAAATTTTGGTCCAACCCTTTTGTATGTAGATTATATTTATGCCTTTACATAATGATGTTAGATTGTGTAAATTTATCATGTACAAAATATACAATAAAATTGTCACAGGGTAGAATAATTAACTACATTTCATGGCGTAGGTTCGCAAAAATTTAATGAAGATAATACGAAGAAAAAGCCTGAAAATATAAATGTATTATTATAATACAAGCTTATTAAAAATACATAAATACAACAATACAACAATTCAGCGATGCAAATAATAATCAATTTTTAATTAAAGTAATGAAATGTAAATAATCTTACCACTGCGGCTCAATAAAGAAAGAAAATAACTTAGTAATAAGATATTTCCAAACAAATTCTATTAGATAAACATAAGAATAAATAGAATTTGCAAAATAAATACATTCAATATATCTATACTCGTAAGAGAATAAAGATAAAGTGACCTAGAGAAGGAAAGTCTGCGGGATTTGAAAGAAAGGAAATGTAGCGTATTTTAATAGACCTGTTAAAATCGATTAATTCTTGTGAGTGATAAAGTTTTCATTTGAATCTAGTTGACCTCTGGTTGATAATTCGTGATCATTTATTAACCTAATTAAATATTAAATATTGATATTTCTGTCTTGGTTTTTCTCTTTTAAATCTTAAATGAACAATATTTTTAAAAACCAATGTAAAACTTTCTCTCAAATCTCTTTCATACGATTGGACATACAAAATCAGTTCACAAAATTGCTCATGAGACAGACATACACGACAATCGACGCATGCGCGGACATAAAGTATACTTTTCCCGCGTCTAAAAGACGAACAGGGCACGGCAAAATGAACAATTAATATAATCAATAAATTGACCCGTGACAAAATATTGTTAAACTAAAATGTCTTTTCGTCTTTCTTCACCATGTTTTTCTGTGAGTAGTTCATATAGTGAAGTGAAGTGAGTAAAAACAGGGAAATTATACTTCTGTCTTCTTTTCGGATCTGTCTCAAAGTAATGCAGAGGTTGTCACGATGGAGAAGAACAAATTAAATTGATTTATGTGTACATGTTGCAGGACTATCAACATTCAATAGCCAAAATCATGAGAAAATGAACGAAATTAGGACATTTCTACCCTAAATTTTGGTTCAACGATAAAATCTAAATAGACCTTTTTACGACGCGGTTGCTATGATAAATCGACCGGAATTAGAATTTTCTCGCGCATGCGCAATCTGCGTAGGGCAAAAAATGCTTCGCCCTACATAGAAATATAGTAGAAGTTCATAGACAATTCCGAGTTAGTTCAAGGTAAACGGTAGAAAATTATATAAAATAGCTTTCAACAAATATAGAAAAGATGACTTTATAGCTTTGTAGCGAAGAATGCCATAAAAAGCATGGAAAAGATACTTTTTGATCACGGATCTGACACTGCTCATGAGATCATTTTTGGGGAGGCTATGCCGACCCAATGTTAATAACTGTCTGTCAAATCTTACTGCCGCGGTAATCAGGTCAAAAAATAGTACCTTGATTTTTTCTAAGCTGACTCATCACTCATCACAGACATTTACAATATGAAAATATTTTCATTTTTTAATTTCATATCTGCAATTTGTAAAGATAATAATTCTCTGAAAAATTCTTGATTTTTGTTTAAATCACTACTCCGTGACGTCATACTGCCACGGTAATCAGGTCAAAAAATAGTACTTTGATTTTTTCTAAGCTGACTCATCACTCATCACAGACATTTACAATATGAAAATATTTTCATTCTTTAATTTCATATCTGCAATTTGTAAAGATAATAATTCTCTGAAAAATTCTTGATTTTTGTTTAAATCACTACTCCGTGACGTCATACTGCCGCGGTAATCAGGTTTAGGCATATTACGTACGTCTGTATTAAATAGTTCTGGTATGAAAACCCTTCAAAATAATAACTTTATCCATATTTTTTTAACAAAAAGCATAAATGAAAATTTATAAGTAAATGCTTTAATTCAGTGGCAAATATTCTTTATTATTTTTGATAACAATTTTCCAATTACTACGCAGCGACCAACTGTTTATGACGGGTCATTAACTAGAACGTTGCAACTACGTATTCTCAATATCATGCATGTGCTTTTGTTGTTATAAACTATTAATAGTCCTTAATATTTTTTAAAGACAAATAATTGTAAACTGTCGCTTACATCAGAGACATGGATCATGCTTGCGTGATAACTAAGGAAAACTAACTTATTTGTACACCCCAGGAGGCTGTACGCGGAAAACGCTCATAAACCGCTAAATCATATAGCTGTTTAGTAAATATTTTGCATACATTTAACTAAAAATTCACTGATGGTGATGAACATATAGTTTAAAAACATTTTATTCTTTAACCATTATCGCCGAAAAAAAACTATTTAACTACAAAACCCCTAAGGACCTCCGACAAAATCCCAGCACAATATTACATTTTACATTAGCAAAATAAAAAAAGCAATACTTATATTTTCATCTTACATAATTCATTAATCAAACTTTTAACATAAAAGTATCTTTGGTAATTGACAGATCCCTACTCTGATCTTTTATTTGTATAGGAATAAATTTAAACATGTGCTCTTTTGTTTAGGAATATTTTGTAGTGAAAGTCTTATATATTCACTAATCTCATAATTAGAATTAGACAGGTCAGGAATTTATACAAACAGTTGTTTAGTTAACTATGCTCATTTTAATCCCAATAGAAT